GCCAAGACTTTGGGGTACTTTACCGTTCAAACCGCAAAGCATGGATGACAATGGCCCTCTTTGCCGACTGGATCAACGACTTCAATGCCTTGATGGCATCGGAGAACAGAGCTGTCCTGTTGATATACGAGAATGAGTCATCACATAAGCCTCTTGGTGTAACTCTTACCAACGTGGAGCTCGTGATGCAGCCCCCGAACATGACTGCCTTCCTGCAACCCATGGACACTGGTATCATCGCATCGTTCAAGCGCCACTGCAAACGTTGTCAATTGGATAATGTCATTGGGATGATTGACAAGGCTACCGAGAGCGACAAGAAACTATATGCCGTTGATGTACTCACAGCAATGAAGTGGTCTGCCGAAGCCTGGGATAACGTAAAGCCATCGACGATCCGGAATTGTTGGAATCATACAGGTATTGTTCCTCGAAAGACGTTAATGGATCTCTTCGGGCCTCTTCGCATCAACTCGAGCACTCGCTTGGATTGCTGCTAAATTGAACCTTGATTTTTTCTATATTTCTGTTTCCCGTATTTTGAGGTCTTCCTTGAAAAATTTATGTCGTACCACGGGAGCAAACCTTGGGGAAGATCTGTAAGTGCCAGCATGAAGAAGCATCATCAACCCTAACGATGCGTGCGACAGGCCTGAGCGCTACTTCAACAAACATCAGGTGGTTACATCCCATCAGACATGTACAATATGGACGAAACGTCCTATTTTACTGCCTCTCGCTTCACTGATCGATAACAAGTCACCGTCAACCTAGGACAAAGTAGTGGAAACAGCGAATCATTTTTACATTCATCATAAATACCGACGGATCCGACGTGGTAGATCCACTATTCATTGGAACGGCGGCGCATCTGAGCTGCATCAATTGTAGAACTGGTGGTGTCTTGGGTTTCAACTACTATTCGAAGAAAGCAAGGATGACGTTGAAGTAGTTCGAAATGTGCCTCGAGGCCTTGAACGCAAGTTCGCTGAGTTCGCAAGGTGCTGTTGCTTGTCGGCAACGCTCCCCATCACAACACGTATCTCGAACTGTCGAATGTTATGTTGAAGAAGCTCCCGAATATTACGACTGAGTACCTACAGCTGCAAGATGCAGGAATCATCGCTTCCTTTAAGACGAAAGTGAAGCAACGCCAACTTCAAACGCTTTGGAGAAATTTGACTTTGCATTGTCTGGCCGGCAATACCGGCTGTACCATTAGTGATTGCAATGGAGTGGACGCGTCACGCTTGGTGTTCTGTGGCTCCTTCGACTGTTGTGATCAATGGACGACGAACACGTATTCTAGGCATTGACGTGTTGCCTATTAGCATTCGATTGGATGCAATTGTTATACTTCCTCCGTCCAGTACGTTTGCACGACCTTTTGGCAGCATTCTACATCTAGAAGTTTGTATCCAAATTCAGGACATTTCGGGGTGTTCCATACTTCGAAGTATATTTTTATTCAAGCTCAACAATCTACGACGAACAGTTGAATGATGTGCTACATTACTGCAACATTATTCAGTAGTTCCACGAGCTCATCAATGCTGTCAAGAGCCTCAGATCCCGAAACACGAAGCCCACTATCTATTAAACCTACAATTTCGTCGACTCTTTGCTCGTCCTGCAATCGACTCTCCATCAGATCAATAGCGAAAAGAACTTCTTCGTCGCATGACGGCCGCAACTCATGATGACCGGTCTTCAGTTGAATGTCCTTCTTCAAATGCGGTACCTTGTACACATTGTCGCGGTCCATCTTCATTGACTCCTCCAAAACCTTCTGTAAAGTCATGACGGTCTTGTTCGAAATGGCCCACTTCAGATTCTTGAACGCTCCTTCAACGCACTGAATGAGGTCATCGATTGATCGAGCAGTAGTCTGATGCTACAAGCACTGGATGACATTAAAGAATCCAAGGTCAAGAACATTAAAATCCGGGCTTTGCGCTGACTGGGCCGTGAGCTGGATGTTCCAACCGTTCATCTGACCCGCCGCCTTCATGGCAGCGTCATCTACCGCCACAAACGGTTTTGCATTGTCTGTTTCACAAAAATAGGTCTTCCACGATGACCAGGCCACTTGGCTTGGATTGCCGGAAACACCTTGTCAAACAGGTAGTTGCGGTAAATGTTATACCTCGGGAATTAAATTGTTCTAACTGTAAAAATAGGTGGTTGTACAGCTTGTTATTGGCTATCGTTTCCGCCATTTCGGGTGTCTTAACGCGCCCTCTAGCCCGAGTTGAGGTTGTTGACGTAAAGTCATGCAAATGTGCTGGAACGGAGGAAGTATTTGATAAACCCTCGATTTCATGAACTGAGAAGATTACATATACATAGGCGTGTCGAAGTCGGGAGGATATCAGTACGTTCGTACAGTCGAGTTGTGAAACCAACCCGCGGCTGGCCCCTTGCAACTGTATTCACGCAACTTGTATTTGTCTTTGCGCTTTTCAGCCTCGTCAGTCTCGACATGACGCTTCCAGCCACGCGAATTGTTCACGAGATCGGCTTGGTAAGCACGTTCGAGTTGTTCACTGAGGACAGTTGCAAACTGAACGAAGGTGTTGGTTTCAACCGTCTTCATTTGCTCTTCAACCATTTTTCGGACTCTCGGAGGGTTAATGCACGACGCCATCGCCTTCACAAACGTCTTCATCATGGTCGGAGACTTCAGCTGCGGCTCTTGACAGTCGATAACATTATAGATTTTCACCATGAACCCAACGGTTCTGCTCGCGGTGTCCCCCAGAGGGTCAACCCGTAATCCTTTGCAATATTCCAGCATATCCAACTTGGTAAGGGTCCACTTGTTCGACTTGGTAAGGGTCCACTTGTTGACCGGTTCCCCGACGATCTTGTGGATGCGCGCCTGAAACTCGTTTTCGTCCAGAGCGTAGCGATCGATGTGCCACAGGTACGAGCAGCTCGCTTCCAACAAGCTTCTATCAGCAGACTCAATCCAGGTCACCGCTAGTGAACGCCAGTTCAGCCCCATACGCTGGGCATTGGCTTTCAGTTTATCCTCATACTTATCACGCTTCTTTTTCCACGGGACCAGCTCTTCGCGGTCCACCGATGTAATTCGTGGGAAATGAATATTTTGGAGGACACGGGATGCATGTGCTGAAGGGGAACACATACTCAAGCCTGTTGTGACAAGTGCTTCTGCACGCATCTTCTCTTGCCGGTCTTCGCGGACAACACGTTCCGAGTCTTTGGACTTGCGGTTGAACTTTCGCCATGGTGTGCTTTGGCGAGTCTCGCGTTTGCGGCGTTGCTCCAGATAGTCCTCAGACAATTCTTCTGTGTCCGGGGATGCATCAGTCGACAAAGTCTCGACAGCCGTCTGGCTCCATGCTCCTTACGATCTTCCTCACGTCTGAGTTTGGCCGGTGCCGGCGATTCCGATGGGTAGTCTTCTTCGACGTACTTGCCTTTCAAGCCGTGTCGTGGTGCCACCTCCCAGCCCGAACCAATACGTTGGTATGGTTCCACATAGGGCACAGGAGATTCTTGTGGACGTCGGCGGGGTGAAACTACCGGACCAGGTCCGTGTATCGACTTTTCCTCCATCGCTGGGCGACTGGATTCTTTAAATTCACCTGTCTCCGGAATCTCGGTGACAGTCCGTCCCGACGGGCCCACTGCCGACTCCGCCCCAGGCTACTCCTCTTCGGTTTCGCTACTACCTAGGGACGTCGGCGACGTCGTCGGGTCAGCCAGCAGCCGTACATTCCCTTCCGAGGAACGTCCGTGATTCCTCTCCATGTCAGTCCCGCTGGTGAGTACAGACTGACACTAAAGTATACTTTGAGTTGAGTCCGCCGCGCCGTGAACTCGAACAACCAAATGGGGGAGCGCCGCCTCCCTTGAACCACACACTGGATTGATCGACTCCACTAAGCCGGTGCTAGGCAGATTGGAAAGTGGAAGACTGACTGGCAAGAACACTCGATCGGCCACTGATTGGTCGGACCCATCAACACGTCCTCAACCGATTCTACCGGCTAGGTTTCTACTACCAACGCAAGGCAGGTTCACCCGAACGACCATCGCCCGGCAATCCCCCGCAGGGTTCAGCCTATGTTGAGTCGGGACGTGGCTTTCACTTCCACCACAACAGTCGACAGTTCTGCGCCGAGCGTCGCGTCCAAGGGCAGCAATGGCACGTCGACCCGCGCTGCGTCTGTGTGCGGGATGACCTGATCAAACACGTCTGCTGCGGGAGGCCCAAGACAACTGAGGCGAAGGTGTGGTTGTGGGGGTGCTGGACATTGGCACCCTGCACACCCACAGGGATCTTGAGATTAGCTCTCCCTCGACCTCTGGGCATTACATCCCCGTCGAAAATATGCCACAGTCTATGGACAATCAAGTCCATGACTCGCACGTTGCGGGAAACCATTGCCAGACATATCGGTTTGCACCTCGAGGCCGAAGAGATCGCATGTCGTGGGTGCGAATCGTAGGTGTTTGGTGGGCGTATTGGATCATACCCAATGGCTGCACCAGCTCAAACGGTCAACTCGTCAACGCCCCTGGCGCACATGAGAAAGTGAACTCTTTCGGTGCGATGGGCAGCGACGGCAATCCTCTCCAGCAGCAGCAACAGACGTACCATTGTCGGACGCATGAAGTTGGAGGTATCTGCCCCATATCACTTGGTTCGATTGGCATGGGCGATCAAGAACTCGACCTACTTTGTTCCATCGGGGACGTCCATGGCTGGCTCCAACAGTCTGGTGCGATCGTGCTCTATCTGTCGGCTAACAAAGGCACCAAGTACCGGTACGGCAACGTGTCACGGGCATTCACGACATCATGAGACTAGTCCAGGAAACCCAAAACTGCGGCGGCGTTCAGAACACCTTGCAACCTAACAACAATAGCCGCCGCCTGACGTGGCCCGCATCGTCGGTGCAAATTCGCCGCTCACCACGAAATTCCACTTGATATGAACCAGAATATCCACGACCACGTGGGCTCGCACGACGCCCCCATCTTCCCGCGCACCAGGCTACATCCCATGAGTGCGATGCACGACAACTTGTTGATAACGAGCCAGTCGCGACCGCAAAGTTCGAAATTACGTCGATCCAAAGCCGCTGTGTTCTCCTCGTCAATTTCTAGCGCTTCACCTCCTCCGCCAAACTCGCGTGTCTCGTCGTTCAAGGAAAATTCATCGTCGCCATCGCACTCTCCGCCTCCACTGCAAGTGTGGATGTGGCGGCTCCCTGTAACGTAACGAGCCAATTTATGGGCACC